ACCCGATTCTATCGCACTGGTTGGTTGACTCATGTACTTAAACCGCTTTTATGAATCAGTGGATCGGGTTAATTGGTAAACCTGCACTGACCCGACTCTATCGCATTAAAGTCAGGTTGGGCTTCATCCGGTTTACGTTTCTGTAGATCGAATCTAATTCCAACTTATTGACACTGCAGCATTGGAATGTTCACATATACATGCTTGTTTGAGTAAAGACGTAGTACATAGAGGTCGGGTTGGCTTGGGTTGGCTTGAATCAAACCCATAACGAGCACAACCCGTTAACATCCCGAAATGTTTCAATCAGTCATGATCTTTTTCAAGTATCTATTTCTCCGTTTTCGTGTTTTGAGTCGACTCAATAATCTATTCTTGTATCCATTTGAAGACCGAACCTAGAGGCAAATATCTGGACCCGGGTGCTTACTGGGTCGTGTCTTTACTCTTTATTGATACAAATACAGGTCCAAAAACAACTTCGAAAGTCGGAAATATAGAAACGTTTCTCTGATGTCCGCTTGCACATATTCTGAGCGTTTCACTTAAACAAGTCAATTATCTTTATCGTAAGAGAATCTGATCACGGATTTGGAAATTCATGTCCACAACCTGATTAGTGATTACCAACATCAACACGTGATCACTGTAATTCATGAATCATCATCATCTCTTACTTCTTTTTTCAGTTTTTCTCGGAAATTTATTGAAATAAGACAATAATTTGACTGAAAATGTGGGGGACTTGTACATCAACCTTTGCAGTTTTGGTTGCCAATCTCTGATCTTACATCAAGAGAAAGCAATTTCAGCGTGCTAATTAAATTCTCCTTTTGTGCTTGGGACTTGTACGTCCATTTTGAAAATAGGAAGGCTATAATTGTCATTTGATGACAGATCGATTTCTCAAAGCAACAAGTTTACCTGTCAACTGTCGACATTTATTGAGAGTTTGAGACTACATAGATACCCTTCGTACAGGGTTATGTCGGTAACTTCGTATGTAAAACTTCGGCTACTTGGCATCCTCCAGTGTTCTCTCTGACTATCTCTACTTGTCCTGCCACCGACGGAGAAGAGCTCATTTAATTTCGCTTTCGATAAGACCCTCGTAGACTTGAGTTTACATTCTGTGAACCCGTCGGTTTACGGGAATGGCTTAACAGGCATCAATACACGTCGAATACGTCATCAGTAATGGCTTAACAGGCAGGTTAACGGGAATTAACGGAGTTATGCCGTTAACGGCCGTTTCATTGGTTGGACCAGGCATTAAAAGACAAAAAAACCCACAAAAATCCTCTAACAAGACCATCACCGATGTTTCACGAAGTTATTCCGGCAAAAAACAAACAATTGACCAGCGGCAGCAACATTCATTTGGTAAACTTTCGTGTCCAGTGGCCAGCGAGAACAGAACAGCAACATTCATTTGATTAGGAGACTAATGGTGCTGATTTGAAGCTTTAGTCGTTTTAGAGTAGAGGCTCCTTCCGATTTGAAGCTTCCGTTGTTTGAGAGAGGAAGGAGGTAGTTAAGGGTGAACATTCAGTTTATTGAGTTAAAAATTGAATTGAATAAACAAATTTTTTAAAAATCAAATTAAAAAAATTAAAACCAAAACGAAACTAAATTATAGAAAAATGGAAATCGAAATTTTCGATTCAGTTTTTGGTTATTTTGGTTAAAATCGAATTTTAATAATATATACTTTATTATATATATTATAACATATAATATATATTATATATTATGAAATCAATTTTTATTATGTTGTATATTATATACTATATGTTACATATTATATTATATATTACATATAATAATAGAAAAACTTCCAAAAACCTAAAAAAACAAATTAAATAAATCAAAATCAAAATTTTTGGTTCGATTTTTTAGTTTTAACTGAACAGTGCTCACCCCTAGAGGTAAGGTACCTCTGGTTTTAGAATCATTCAAAAGCAAAAAGAAAAATCATAATAATTATTATTATAAGAGCTCAATTTATAGGAAAAGAAGAAGCTGTAGGAAGAACCAGGGCCCATGTAACCCAATGATCAACAGTGGAGGGCATGACTGTGGACAAGGAGATCCGTCGTTGAAGTTGCAGCAGTGGTAATGTCGTTGGAGGAAACAGGGGATGGCGGAAAGAGAAAGAAAGAAAGAAATAGAAAAATAATGATAGAGAAAGAGAGAGAATGAAATAGAGAAAATTGATATGAGAGAGTGAAAGAGCAAGAGATTGAAGAGGAGGGAGATCTGCAGCTGCTGCTCTGCATCTATAATGGTGTTGTTGAGAAGAAGAAGAAGAAGAAGAAGAGTTCGTTTTTCACTGGATGTCGGTTGCCTTATGCATCATCGATGATCTGATCTGGCTAAGGTTTAGATAAGAGAGGGAAGGGGATTTTCGTTGTTCATTTGAATATGAATTTCTTATTTTTTTGTCTTTTAGTACCTGATCCAACCAATGAAACAGCCGTTAAAAAAGATAATTCCATTAATTTCAGTTAAGTTGTCTGATAAGTCATTATTGATAACGTGTTCAACGCGTATTAGTGGGTTCACAGAATGTAAACTCTGTATATTTGAAGAATTACGGTCATCGTTGAGAATATTTGAGGTCACCGTCGTAATTGCCTTTAATCGATGTCGAAAACGGAAATCCAACTCCCCAAGCTACTCCGCCGTTAGCGTTTAATATTAAGTTAGCTAATAAACCAGTTTAATTATTAATTACTTTCAGAACTTACATCAGAGTCTCTGAGATTCAGATTTCAGAATAAGAACTTGGATGGAAAATAACCAACGGAACGGAAAAGGGAAAAACTACGAAGAGATCGCATCCATGCAGCTAAAACGTTCAGTTGACTCATTGCAACGATGATGAAAATAAAATATTTATCTTAACTAACAAATAATTAGATATTAACGAAACTTAAAAAGACGTCATTCCTTGGAGCAATGTTTCAAAGAATTCTTGCAGAAATGAAGTCCTTTGCACAAGAAATCTCAACCGACTGATTTAATTCAATAATTCAAGATTGGGGCTTGATGTTAGATGGGATCCATTGACATTAGATAATATAGTTGAGCGTTGGTAGTATGTTGCATTGTATCATTGCCTCCCATGAGATCTCATCCTTCACACTCAGAATCCACGGTAAAGAACTTTCTCGCAAACGGCTTTATTTGAGCAAGTGCTCTTTGCAATAAAACTCTTGTTTTTCTTTGTCTGCTCAGATCGCCTCCTCTCTATCTTCTCTCCTGCAAAACCAAAAACCCTAAAAACCTCCGATCCCGCCGGAAAATATACTCCATCGATGATCCGTCCAAAGGCCCTTATTCCCCCCGCATTTCGAGCTGAGCAATCCTCTGTCGAGACTGAAAGGGCTTTCCGACTTGTTTCCGTTGATCAATCACGGCTTTGAGAAATACGAAAGAGATAGGAGTGAAACAGCAAGGGTAAGAGATGTATAAGAACCAGCTGCAAGAGCTGGCGCAGAGAAGCTGCTTTAACCTTCCGTCGTATACGTGTATTAGGGAAGGTCCCGATCACGCGCCCAGATTCAAGGCAACTGTTAACTTTAATGGTGAGATCTTTGAGAGCCCTAACTATTGCACGACGTTGAGGCAAGCGGAGCATTCTGCAGCGGAGATTGCGCTTAATTCTCTTTCGAGCAGGGGACCGTCGCATTCGCTGGCAGCGAGGATCCTGGTAAGTTCTATTGGTTACCGTTACTTGTTAGGTTTCCGTTGTAGCTGTGTTAGGTTGCTATTTGCTTGTCAATTCTTCCATCTCATGTTCGATTAGCTTCTTTCATCTTTCGCAATGTGCATGGAACGATGGATTGACTAGGGGGGAAAAGAATAGGGGCAAAAAAAGGGTTTCTTTTCCCCAGTTTTTCACAAAAGCAAATGCCTCTATCAAGTACCAACGGAGCATAGTAGTATAGAGGGGTTTACTATTGAAGCCCTAGACGGCTTTTCCGGCGATGATCAGATATCGTGAGCAGTTGAGCACTTGGGCAAGCAGGGAGTTGCTCTCGAATATTTGGCTAGTCCTTTCTCGCATCTACCGGCTAATGTGCACCATCCGGGAGTCACTGTGTGGACACATTCTATACTACGCGTAAGCGTAGCCGATCACTGGTAAGAAAGTCGCCGAGATTTTACCGGGCATTGATCAGCGACCAGCTAACATGCGCCTTTTAGGTACGCATTGTTATCGAGCGCACTACCCCGCATCGTTGTTTTCGTTGACTAGTGCAGGGAATTTGTTGAATCCGGTGCCGACGTGCCGTTCTCTGGAGGCACCGAGACTAGATTGGGTCATCTGATTGACATTGAAATGACAAGATTGACCGGGACTAGACCGGTGCGATTTCCTAGAGGCCGACCAAAGGCAAAATGCATTTTAGTCTAGGAAATGGTGGTCCATCAGAAAATTTTAGGAAATACTACCTGAAATTTTGGAAAGTTTCTCGCAGTCAGCTATAGCCTGTAAGTGGTGTTTCTGTAGTTAGTTCAAAAACAGAGGGGTGTTTTCGTCATTTAGTATTTCGACCCGGTCCAGAAAATTAGGCCGTTACTTTGATCTTACTTTTAGACAGAGAAATGGGATCACCGCTGAATCAGGATTGGGTCTGCTTAATGATTCACTTTATTGATTTCTAGGGCTTACGCCATCTTGTAACGTTTATACTTTATAAGGTTCTTTACGTTGGCCAAAGAATTTGAACATTATAATTCTTCTCCAAAGGAGAAAACTCCAATGGGCGGTTATTCAATGATAAGGACATGCAATTGTATTATATAGAGTCCAATTTCTCAAACCGAAAAAGCATCTATTCTTAGCCACATATTATCTCCTATGTTCTGGGTCTGGACTCAGGACGCACCACGGGATGAGGACCACCTCTTGATAGCCTGGACCAAAAATCAAAACGGGTCGATCTAATCAACAAATCCCTTTTTAGGTAAATTTTAGGCTTTTAAATAAACTATTTTCTGCCATCAAAGTGGATGTGATGAAAGTATATGAACCCTGATCATATTGGTTTCTGGTCTTGTGTATCATTTAGGTGAGACGTATTGATAAGAAGCCATCTATTGAGACTCTAGATTGCACCTTTATTTGTTAAAAAAACTTGTGGAGGAAGGAGCTGTGTTGTACCAGGCAACAAAGTGTGGTGGCACGGTCTACCATAGACTGTTTTAGTCCCCCAGCTACCCGCTTTGTTGATAGTGACCACCACTTGGATTGACCATAGTACCCATAAGTCCTATCCATTCTCTGATTACAAGCCGTAAGTGACGTTAAAGCTGTCAATAACAAAATAGGTTCATCTTTGGTTTTGAACTTTTGATGGATGCAATTTACATATTAGATTTGATAGATTGGTGAAGACACATTTTGTCTGTACCATCCACTCCAGCAATTCAAGCTTTTTACCTACTTCAATCAGTTTTAAGTTTTGTTTTAAATTTTTTATTGCTTTTACCCTTCAATTTGTATTACCGGATTTTCTTTATCATATTTTCTAATAACGCTTCCAGTGAATCTGAATTATCTATAAGTAGTCATTAGTTGCACATTAGCCTGATGATGGGGTAGCTCAACTAGATGTGTCCCGATATCCCAACAAATCCAGATGTATTTGTCCCTGCACAAAATTTAAATTTTGTGCATGTTGCGTCCAAGTCCATGTCCTAAGGTACCCAACTCTATATAGAACATTTAGGTTGGTAGCTATCTCACTTCTATTTGCGATCAGTTGGATGGACCTGCTTCTGAAACAAGTTAAATCTCTAGGAGATACTGCATTTGGTACTGAAACAGCCAAGTAGTTCTATTTAATTGTTAAAATATCCATATTTTAGATGGTATTTCCATTGATACTTTATTTCAGTATTGAAGTTACTTGCATTTAAATATAAGTTTAATCGTGTTGGCACTATTGGATTGGACACAAATCCAAATTTTAGGAATTGAACTAGCAATGACTGTATGATGCATAGGCTTTGTTAAGCAAAAGTGAAACAATAGAAACACATAAGAGTAGACAAATTTTTTTATATTTTATCTTTTTAAATAATTAATAATTATTTATATTTTATATACTACTTTTTAAATAACAATAATTAATTTCAGCTAAATTAATAGTTTAATTTCTAATAAATATTAATCGATAAATTATAATGAAAATTTGTAATTACTAAAAATAATTTTATAACAAAAATACAGTAAATCCAATAAGTACAATAAATTAAATTTCAAAAAGTTAAAAAACAATAAATCCACTTCCTCAATTGCTGCTCTTTCTTGGAAAAAAACCTTCTTTTTCAAACCATCAGACTGTTTTCCAAGTTGTTTCCTAGGTGAAAAGGTGAGTTCTCTCATCTGGATTTGTGATTCACAAACCTCAAATTGAAGCTTTCTGCCTCATGCCTCCGATCCCTTGCTTTCTGGTCAATCATTGGCATTCTCTAACATCTGCCTGTATTTACTGCAAACAATGGAAATGGTTTCCCTACTCATATTATGTTCAATTAATAGAAAGAAATCAATATTTTATGAAATAGTCTTTTTGGGAGTTCATTTTCATCCAAATCATTTTTTTCTTAACTTTGATTTTCACCCAACAAAAAGTGAGCTGTCAAGGTAGATGCAACAACATTCCTTTAACTGGCGTTTGTTAGGAGTATCTCCTTTTTTTTGAACTGATCTCTTTGATGTACAGGATGAAACAGGCGTCTACAAGAACCTCTTGCAGGAGATAGCACAGAGAGTTGGAGCAGCATTGCCTCTATATACAACTTTCCGTTCAGGTCTTGGGCATCTACCTGTCTTTACTGGCACTGTAGAGCTTGCTGGAATCACATTCACAGGGGAACCGGCTAAAAACAAGAAACAGGCTGAGAAGAATGCAGCCATGGCAGCATGGCTGTCTCTGAAAAAATGTGAGTCCCTCTCCAAATGGCTATAGGTCCTGATAATCTATCTAAATAGGACATCAATGAGTGATTGACAAATTCCATGATGGGGCCATTGCTTGGTGCTGTGGTAAAATCTCAATCTGACAAGTGTGAGAATGTTGGTTTGAGTATGAAAGCTGCCACTTCATGCTAAAAATGCTGGCTGTTAGTTCCATAACTGGTCTACTCCTCCCAAGACCATCCACATTTCCAGGAGCAGCATTGGATAATGATCGATTGGTTGTACATTCTGTTATAAAACTTTGACCAATGATATTAGAGTACATAGGTATTGTCCCTTGCTTGGAGAAGTAGGTCCTCTTTCCTTAAAAACACAAATACTTTTACCAATAGAATGGCAAGTAATATAATTAAATGATTGTAGTTGAGTTGTCTTGACTGAATGAACATTCCTTATACCAAATCATATAGTTCTATAAGTCAAACCCCTGCGGTTTAGGAGATGTACCCCTTTTTTGATGAATACCTTTACCACTACTTGAGTGTGGGAATTTGTCTCTCTGCTCAAACAAGGCAATATAGGTTTATAAGCATGCGAATGCACCAAACCATAAAAAATGGTGCTGTATGGTAGAAATCCATGCTACACAAGGAAAGTGCTGTTACTCCATTAAAATGTTGCTCTGTGGCAAGTGGCAACGTAGGAATGTGTTTCATTTGTATTGATTTAAAACCATGGCACATAAATCTTTTTTTTTCTTTTTTTGTTTCCTTATTTGAATTTCTAAAATTGATTCTGTTCAATGCTGGGAAATGACTTCTAGCTGCTTTGTTTAATTTTATTGATTTTTTCACTTGCGATAACCAACTCACTTTTTCATCGATCAGTGGCACAGGAGTCTTTCAGCTCATCATCGGTATCAGAGAATAATGATGAACTGGAACAGATTACCATAGCGCGGGCACTTCTGAATTACCGTCTGAAGGAAAAGATGGCAATGGGAAACTCAGCTGATACTCCATCCATGTTTCTAAAGAAATTCCCATTGCAAAACCCAAGACCATCAAGTCCACAGCCACCCCCTATTACCACATCAAAAATTCTTCCCTTAATCCGTCCAAAATCAGCGCCACGGAGCAGACCTGTATCCATAGCAGCAAACGACGGTAATCCACCATCATCAGCACCACAGAGCAGGCTTGTATCCATAGACAGCATTCCACCAACATCAGCCCCACAAAGTAGACCTATATCCACAGCAGCAAATGACAGCACCCCACCATCCCCACTTGCTCCACCTGAAAGCCACATGGTCCGCCCCCAGAAATTCCCTGCAGCAGGAGCAGCACCTTACATTCCATTCCGGCATTTCAGGCCACCATACCATGGGATTGCACCGCCAGTGACAATAAGGACTGCCGTTCCGGTCTTCTCTGCTCCCCCACTTCCACCACCGTCTGCCACCTCAACCAGGCCTTCTTCAGTGATTGGACCACCTATACACGTTGCGCCACCTGTTCGAATCAGACAAGCTGTCCCAGTATTTGCTGCCCCACCTGTTCGGAAACAGGCAGAAGAGCGACCAGTTTTCATGGTATCACCCCCTGCAACAAGGCCATCACCAGCTAAGGTTGAGGAAACTGCCAGCACAACAAGGAATGACCTACAGGAATCGGAGGCAGTGGAGGGACTAAAACAGCTTAAAATCTGATCCTGGTAGGAGAGGATTTCAATCCACCAAAAAACTAATGACTATTTTCAATTTTGTACTGATTTTTACATTCTCTTTCCATATTTTAAATGAGTGTCCCTTTCTTCCCCCTCTTTTCTGGTCTTCTGCACGACCTACATTGTCTGGGTTGCGTTAGCACAATTTAAAGGGAAGGATTTGGATGTATGGTAACTGGTCACAAGTGAGAACGTTATAAACTTGAAAAATTAAAAATGCTTTAGGATTCTGGAAAACTTTTGAATATCTTGCAGAACAACAATATAAGAAATGTACAGTTTGCGCAAAAGGATTTGTTGGGTTGGAGTTTATATATTTTGTCAGATGTATGTCTGTCGATGCGTGGTGCAGGTTGAATTGAGGAGTTTCTGTGTCCGGAGACGGTAATGGAGAAGGGAAATGATTAGGTGGTACTTGGTAGTAGGCATGGTGGTTTCGATGGTTGATATTTTAAATGTCTTTCCTTGTCCCACGACTCTTAGCTACACACAGCCTACGGTGCAGAAAAAGTCAAAAAGGGTTGGGGATGGGGGGTGCCTTTATACTTTTATAGAGTGCATAAAATCCATATATTCTAAAATCACAAAACAGGTGATGCTCTTCGTTGGAAACTCAAAAACCTAATGCCAATCGGCTTCTGTCTCGACCCTCTCAAAAATTATCTCTGAACACCCAAGTAAACATGCAATCTTTTCACCCACTAGGCCACTACCCACCGGCATTTATGTCTTTCTCATGTTCAAAACTCACACTCAACTCAACACTATTCCAACTATTATGGTTGGTTACATGACAATTTTATAAAATTTCCCTTCTGACCCGTGAGCCCATGCAATATTGGGTGATGTTGTGTAGTCTGATAGAAGGTTTGGGGAATTTTTCTATTCCAAAATGTGCGTAAAAGGAGGGACCTCTCTGCCTTTATACAAGACTACTGAAAGTCTTTAATAAATCCAAACTTGGTGATTTACATTCTATAGATAAAATAAAGTTTGACAAAATACCTCTTCAATTTTTCCATTGTTATGCATCATCGAACTAAAGTGACAATTTTTCCTTGATTTGCACTTATTATTATTATTGATGTAGCGCAATCTGACTGTTTTCGCGTGTCTGATGATTCAGACGCTAATTTAGATGTTTGTCTTTATCAGGGCCTGAGCTGTGCTAGGTGGGGGTGTCAATTGGATTGGATGTGGTATAATTCAATCCAGTCCAATGAGAGTCCATTATAAATGGACCTGGTCCAATCCAATCCAATGAATGTTTTGGACCAATTTGGACTGGTCCAATTCAATGTCTGGATTGTTCAATATGTTCAAATTCATTTTGATTTAGATTGGTTTCAACCGAAACCTGATCCATTGACACATATACTCTTATCTTATATCAATGGACCTGATATTGGCTTAATCCAACCCAACCCAATATAAATTTGTTATGGACGGACCAGGTCTAACCCAATCTAATAAATATTTTGGACCGGATTGGTCCAATCCAATATGTCTTGTTGGTCCGTCCAATCTGTCCAAATTGATTTTGGACTAGACGGGGTCCAATCCAACACGGTCCATTGACACCCTTAGTGCTAGGCCAAGCTATAGATGGTTGAACTGTTTTGTTCTGCAAGAGAGATAGAATTAGAATGCCCGAGTTGTTTTTACCCAAGGTGGGCACTCCGATTCTTAAGTCAAAGAGTTGTTTGAGAGTTATTTTGGTGATAAGAGTCTGAGAAATTAACCTTACGTACTTTCACTGGTAAGAATGACTTGAGCCTTCTCACAACGGGTCTGATGTTCTCGCGGAGCCATTTCCGCTCACTCGGGACAGTAATTACATCAGTTACATAATCCGCGTAGGGTTATGGTCTGCCCGATTAACTCTGATGAATGCGATGCAGTAAGCTACCATGAGTTCTTGTAGCTCGGCCGGTCTCTGAGGTAGGCCGCCATGTGCTGGGAGACCTGTTAATCCAACCCGGTCGAGGCATTGAAGTCAGTCTGGGCGAGGTGTTTTAGACCGACTTGCCGAGCTGGTTCGCTTACCCAATGCCAAGGTGTCGATTGAAGGCCATGTGTCCCCTGGGTGACTTGTATAAAAAACCACCTGATTGGTGAATGGTGACCACTCTTGTGAAAATGGTTGCTCTCTAATCTAATGTCCTAAATCTTTCAATCACTTCATTCTATACGCTGAAATATACAAATTTGTAGAATGTAAAACCTTGTATTTTGTATACATTTTCAATATACATATTTGTATTTATACTCCTTCTGAGCTATAGGATCAGTTTAAAAAAAGTACAAATATAAATATGTACAGTGCAAATACATACAAAATACAAGATTTTGCGCTCTACATATTTGTATTTGTACTCTTTCCAAACAAAGCCATTGTGCTTTAAACCCCAATCCATAACAGAACTGCTTTTCCATTTGAGGGTGGGTGAGTCATTCAACCATTTGGGTCAATCTATGGACTGCCCAATCTGTGATGTCAAATAAAATAATAACAAAGATAAAAATAAACAAAAATACATATAAATGTAGAATTTTGTAGAAAAATGAGTGTGGCAAATGAAAGCTTTTGTTATCAAAATAATGGAAATGGTTAAAATAAAAAGTTCGTTCTACTGAACTCTAACCCATAAAAGAGAATTGGTGTCCGACCCGTAGCCCATTGACCGGATTAGATGGTTCAACAGTTCTATTGCTCTCACCATGTTGTTGATTAAAGTCAACATCTGTTGTTTTTCTCTTGCTTTTCTTAATTTCCCAATTTGTGGTGGACTGGTGGAGCCATATTTAATCCAATTATAAATTGATCGAATTCAGATGACCCTTAACTCGAATTTGTCCCATTAGACAACCTTTGTAGCCTTACTATTTATTTGCATTATGGCCAAGTGGCCCATTAGACAACCTTTGTCATGGTTTTTAAAATCAACCCGGTGATCGAACCGGTCAAGGGTGTGGTTACTGGGTCGAACGGTTCGATCGTTTAAATCAAACGCTCAATTCGTATTGATAAGAAAATAAAAAAAAATTAAAAATAAAAAATGGTCAAAACTGTTCAAACAATTTAAACGGTTAACGCTCGGTTCAGCGGTTCGCTGACCAAAATCAAGGTTTTGGGGGAAAATCCGGTTTTTGGGGAAAATAGAACCAGTCACCTGATTGGTCACCTAATCGGTTCCTGGATTTTCCAATTCAACCGTCCGATTCGGTCCGATTTTGAAAATCATGACCTTTGTAGCCTTAATACTTATTTGCATTATGGCCAAGTTTAGGAGTGCCTATTTGAAAAATAAGTGATCAACTGATCATCATGAGTGTTTGGGGAAAAAGCACTTATTTCAAAATGATGTGAGAGGGCAAGATAGGCCAGAAAGGAAATGAACTTATTAAATAAGCACTTGAAAATATGTCTTAGACTTTTCCAATAAGTGCTTATTCTCAGATTAAGCTCTAACCTTATTTCCTAAACACCAATAAGTATTCGATGATATGGTCCTGAACCAAGTATTTATTTGAATAAATACTAAGTTTTAAGACCTCCCAAAATGTGATTGATTTTGCTCTTATGGACCATCAATTTCACTCTCTTATGAGATGGGCAGAAAGCGTAATTAAAAAGAAGTAATAATTAAGGCGGTGTTCGGCACTGTGTTCATCTTGTGGAAACGGTCCCATCGATGGGACAAACACCTATTCGACTAGTTGTGGATGGGACCGGTCCATGCTATATCGTGGACCGGTCCCGTCTACACCCCAATTTCTAATCCATGGCAAAAACTCATGGTTAGGACCCGTTCACAGTCTATTTTTTATCCCCTACTTTACACTCTCCTTGAAAGGTTGAAACCCTATTGTCTGTTTCACATTTTAATATTTTTGTTAATAAAATTTTACTTAATTTTTTATTTTTTTATATTTTTAAATATTTAAAATATATTTTTTAAAATTTTAATTATTTTACTATTGTTTTTATAAAATTTAATATTTATTGGTTAATATTAATTCATTGATGCATTTTTCAATAAATTTATGAGATAAAATGCAAAAATTAGATATTTATGATTAACTGTATAGGTCATTCATAAAATGTATATGAGATACATTGAATAAAAAAGTGTGGTATGTACTGGTCCACACCGCGCTTATAGAATGCCACTATAGGTATAGAGTAGCCCAATCCACACATTTTGTCCACAGTTCAGAACAATTGTAGACTATGGTGTGGTGTAGATTGGTTTCTGCCACAGGGTGTGGTATGGACTAATCCACACCCACTGATTTTTCATCCATACTACAAATTACCTTCTAAGTTTTAAAGATCTCGATGGAGTTACCCAAGTGTATGTCAAGGAATTTGGATGAATCACACACTTGGCAACTACTAAAGCAAATCACGATTTATTTTTTTCTATTTCCTTTTTTTCTTTGGTGCAAGGATGAATTCTTCTTTACCCTTTCTTAATACTTTTGTTTTTTAATTTTTTTTTTTTTTGAACCCATTGGATTGTGTTTCCTGAAACTTATGCACATGGAAAAATGTTATACAGAGCTAGCTAGACTATCTTTGGAGCAGAAGAGGTAGATAAATATTAGTTATTAATATTTTTAATGAACAATGCGCATATTGTGAGTGAATTTCCAACTGAATGGCACTTTTGTGGAGCTCCTCCAACCTCCATTGCCATCTACCGATAAAACACTGACACGATATGATTTATTTAAATTCAAAGCACCAGGTGATCTTGTGACAGCAGATGCAGCCTCGCTTTGTTGTGCTTGTTCTGTCACATGTCTCCCTAATGCTCACTATTTTCTGTAAAAGAAGTATTTTGTTTTTTTAGCTGATGAAGATCCTTTCGTAATCAATTGTTTTGATATTAGCAAACTGTTTGAATGTCCTATATATATATATATAATTGGTCTTGGCAACCTCCTGTACCTGTACTACCCGAATATCTGGTCGAGATTTTCTCTTCTAATAAGGCAATATCATATATTAATTTGGGCTCGCCCCACCATTTGGATGGCCTGAGTTCCTGGATTATTTTGCTATTTAACTTGGATCGATGTCACAGATAAACTATTACTTTTATATATATATATACATGCTCATGTCTGCCACTGGGTACCTGAGTTAGTTGTCAGCAGCCCAAGTGGAGCCAACAGCTCTCGAGTATAGGGAAACAGTTCAAGGCGTAAGGTGCTATCCTGAAGAAGAAGTAATGTGTT